TCGGGGGAGTCTGGTTACCTAAGTATCCAGGGTCTCTCTCACTCGAATAGGATAACTTAAATTGTGCCGTTTGTTGTTTAAATAATTTACAATTTTATGAGAAAATTCATTACTTTACGAGGCAATTCCTTATTAAATTGCACGCAAAAACCGATAGCGCACGAGTCGCGAAGCGATGAGCGCGATATCGGTTTACAAGTGCAATTTAACACAGAATTTTACGAGTCAAGTGATTAATTTTTTTTGAATCGCATAATTGAGAAAAAAAGGAGAAAAAAAAAACAAAAACAAAACATTATTACTTATAGTTGTTATGTATACGTAGATGCGAAAGAATATCACTTAACCTCGTTTTCAACTCGCAATTCCACACCGAATAATTCGCTTGGTTATAACCAATCAGAATGCGAGATTTTATTAAATGATGCGATTCTACGGTAAATTGATTATCTCATGGAGAGAAAAATCGGGCATATCAGTGTCCCAATAACCCACCCCTCTCTCCCTTCTCGTCGGTGTATGAAATATATTAACGAGCTAGTTCAGCTCAGACATATGATAAAATATATTTTTTTTTATTATCACATTTGTCACGGTGGTAACATTTCTTTAGTCTTGACTATCTCTCAGGTTTTGTTTAATGCTTTGCTTACTGACATGAACTAAGAACAATAATGAAGAGTCTATCGGTGGATCGAGAGCGTGTTACAAGGAAGACTTCCGTAAAGGAAAAGAGAACAAAATTATTGTAAAATGATGACATGTTGCTTTCCAATATCAGTAACCAGCAAGTTACCATGTTTTGAAATTGCCATACCCCAGGGTGATTGGATTTCTTGATAAAAGGAACTGAGAAATTCACCATCCTGGGTAAACATTTGCAGTCTATTGCTGCGGTTGTCACAGACGATCAGGTTATCAAAAGTGTCAACAACAAGGCCGCAAGGATAATCCATCATTCCTTCACCAGACCCCTCGCAGCCAATATTGAAGAGAAATTCACCCTCCTCATTGAAAACCTTGATACAGTTAGCTATGTGATACGACACAAAGAACTTGTCGCGATGATAAAAAACACAAGCGGGGCTATCGTCGCAATCCGGAGCACTAAAGGAGTGTAGTAATTGTGCACCGTCCTGGGAAAGGACCTTGATTTTGCGGTCAGCTTTATCACACACGATCACGTGACCAGCATCATTATCATTTCTGACAAAAACAGTCGAAGGACGAATCACGCGCTCACTAAACTTTCGAATAAACTGACCATCATCAGTGATTAGAGACATTTGAGTTGAACCCTCAATGCTATGAATGACTACCATATCACCACTCCTTAAGAATGCTACAGACAAAGGATGATTTATCGTCACAGCTTCACCAGTTGGCGATTTCAGCTCGCCTCCCATCGTCCTGAGGTATTTCAAATTCTCATCAAAAACCTGAAGTCGGTTATTTAACGTATCTACCACGGCAATGTCTCCTGACAATTTATTCTGTACAATACTGCGAGGCCCATTAAATTCTCCTTCTCCAGAA